AAATAGCAGTAGCCATGAGTAACTATGGTAACCAATAATTTTTAACAATTCCCTGTTTGTCAAAAACTGATTTAGTAGCTTCTTGAGGTGTGGTGGCGCGCCATCTTGTTGGAATAACTGCCGTTGGAATTGAGTTGGGTCAAAATTAGCGGGATGGAAGGAATAGCACAGTTTTCAAAAATTTAAACATGTCTTTCCAGTTAAGGTTTCCTCAAATCTTTTGCGGATATTGGGTGTGCGCATTTTAATGTCTACAGTAAAGTAACTAAATTTAAAGTCTACTAGTATGTTTACTAGTAACTCTACTAGTATGGGATGTAATCACAAAGTCTCCTGATTTTTCAGCATATAATACGGTGGTGAGGGAAAAAAGTAGAGTTGCCATTTAAAAAAATAAACTTTTTGAGATACGGAAATTTGACGCACATTTCTGACCATCCCGTATAACTTTAATTAATAATTGTTGTTAAATTAAAGTGTATAATTGTTATTAAAAGACACCATTAGAAAGAGCAGAAAATTTTCAATAAGATAGATATGGTTCTAGAGTTTTTTCCTGCTCATATAAGAAAGTTATCGACCCGAACAGGGTTTTAAAATGGCTAAAACGTGTGAATTTAGCAGTTTTTAGCCAAAAATATACGTGTGCAAGCGCGTGATCGCCGCGTGTTATACACCACTAGAAAAAGCAGAAAATTTTCAATAAGATAGATATGCTTCTATAGTTTTCTCCCTATCAAATAAGAAGGTTGTTTAGAGGAAGAGTATTTAAGCGTTTCTGCGTGTAGGGATGGACATTAAGGGTGATTTAAGCATGACGCCGATAGATATTAACCGACAAAAACCCGGATTGAGATAGCTGAAGGAGCGCCCTTTCTGACTGTAATAACAGTTTTTTAAAATTCGGTTTCGTAACAATTGGACAAGGCCTTGAAGTTTGATAATTTTGAGCTATTTTAAGTACAGCGCGGTGTTCTTCAATTTTTATTGATCTTAATATCAACTTATCGGCAGACGAAAACCCGGTTTTAGATAGAGAAAGATTCAAGCTTTCAAGTGGTGTATTTAGTTTTTCGCTATCCCTAAATATACGGAAAATATCAGCTAAGAAAGTAGATAGGAAATTACGGGTAAAAGTTTGTTGCTGGGAGGTTTGTTGCTATCGTCGCACGGGTAAATATTTTATATGTTAAACAACTTCGTGTTCAATCACATAAATTCAATTAATCTTTTATTCTGAGTATGCAACTTCTACTACAAGTTGGATTTCAAATTTTATTCAATTCATTCATAAATAATGTTTTTCTCGTTTGCTGTTAGAGGCAGCATGAGCTAGAGCAACCCAACTCGATCGGTGGGATAACTATGTATATCTATAAACAAGGGTAATACTAATTTTCTGTTATCTTATTACGTTGTCCAAAAACCACATAATTCAATGCTGTACGTAGACTTTTGTTCACCACTGTATGTGACAGGGATATAGGCAACTTAGACTACAATGAAATAATGATTACCGCAAAACCTTGTTTTTATTTTCAATAATACATTATTTTATAAGAATATAGCACAATATTAAGTTTATTTCTAATGAAATTCACTTTTGTTAAAAGTGAATTAAAGAGTTTACTAAAAAACCATCTGTTAGATGCGGTTGTCAGCTGAAAATTAAGCAGTTGAACCAAGTTGAACCACAAGCAGTTCGACACCAGGTTCGGCACAAGTTCGATAACATTCAATAACAGTTCGTACCTGAATAAAGTCAGGTTTTTTACATCTCTACGTGTTGACTACCTTTTCTAATCTCCAATAATATTGTTTTTGCTAAAATAACCGCGAAACGACTTACCTCGTCAATTAATGGAGATTAAACTTTAAAATTGAATGCGATAAACGTGCAATAAAGATAAACATTTAACGAATAGCTGTATAGTAGAGACAAATTTTTATTAAGTTTTACGAAAATGATTTCCGTAAGTGATACACGTTTTGTAACGTTCCTCTTTATTTCGGTTGTGATACCATTTAGTACCAGTTGTAAGTAAATCAAACAGTTTTTTCTTTCAATAAAATTAATGTTGTAATAAAATTAATCGATTTTTTTAAGCTTGGTTGGATGAATTGAAAAGAACTGATGATAATAAATGGCAAGGAAAGTGGTTTCCGATGCCTCCAAATCAAAAAAATGATACCAATCCAATTGTTAGTTTAGAAGAGTTACATGATGATAAACATGGAATTAAGATGGGTGTATCATCCGCTAATTGTGATAATGCACAGGTGGTTTTCAAATATTTTATAAATTATATTTATTTGGTTAATTATAAAAATTCTTTTGGTTAATTAGGTTAATTTAGAGGTTGATTGGCTTGATGATGCCACAAATTACACTTGTTATGAAAACAAGCAGTCCTTTTTACCCAATGAAAATGTTCGTGCTTTATTTTCACAAGATTACATTCCAAAGGAATATAGTGTAACTTTCTATATATTATAATATTAATACACAATATATCACAACATTTTTTAGGCTCCACATAAATGCATGACGGAGAGTATAAATTACAGCCATTATATTCCAACTTTGTAAGTACCTTTTTTTTTTTTAATTTTTACAAACTTTATTTGCTTTAAGTTACTGATTATAATGATAACAAGATTTACTTGCTTATGTTAGTAACAAGTTACATTTTTTCTCTAAAATTCTTAAAAATGTGAATGTGAAGGCACATTTCTTTAAAAATTTTATTTTTTATCATGTCAATATCACCAAGACGAATTGTTTATTATTATTAACATTCCTTAAAATTTCATCAACATGTACAGGGTGGTTCAAATTCGATGAAACTAATTTAATTTAAATTTAACTAATTTAAATTTACTTACTAAAGCAAGTTTACAAAAAGATTAATGTTAACATAATATTATTATTACTTATTACATCTCTTCGTCATCACTACTAATCACGCGAGGGCGCTTTCTTTTTGGCGAAACATCATCCTCTGCTCCTTGTTCAGCACAGAATAATGTTTCATTATTTCTTTTTTACAAAAAATCTTATTTTGGGTTGTTTCTTGTTGGCTGACAGATCTTTAAAAATTTCGTTGTATGGAGCCAAGCATTTGTGAAGTTCTCTTTTAAATTTTGTACTTCTTTCAGTGGAAGGATCCTCACTGACAAAATATCTTTCCAATTGTTCAGCAATATCCTGGCCTTTTTTTTTATACCTTTTACAGTAAAATCTTTTACAATAACACGAGGGGTAAACCGCTAGTTCAAATTTTGTACACCTACTTCCCCTTTGACAAATAATTCCTTATACTTCCTACTTATATTCCTAGTATTTCCCTGTACTTCCGTGTATTTCCTCATAATTCCTTATACTTCCCGATACTTCCCCGTACTTCCGTGTACTTCCCCGTAATTCCTCTTACATACTCGTACCTCCTCTCCCTTCGGACGGCATATCCACGTGTGTATTTAAGTAAAACACCCAAATAAAAGTCAATAAAAATTAACATATATTCTTTGGCAAATAAAAACATTGAGTTTTTCTATATAAAAACAGAAAATAATAATACTGACAAAACAGATTTAAAGCTATTTATAATTTTGTTTGAAAGCTTTGTGTAATTTCTTTATTTCTACATCATCATGTCTGCTAATTTGAAATATGCCGTTACCAAGTAAATTAATGGGACCGTAAAATACATACTCTTCATCTACAACCGCGATGTCTGGTGTTTTCGGCCATACAAAAAAATCCAAATCTTGTCGTAAGAACTGAATTTTGTACTTTTTGCTGTCGGTTTTTTGAACAGTTCTGCCTATATACCATCTTTCTTCATAAAATACAGCGTAATATTTGTCAACCTAAAAGTATGAATTAGGTGAGATAAAACATTTAGACAAAAAAAAACCGAAATTTTTACCTCCAAAGTTTTTGGTTTTGTCCTCTGATTCATCGATCAACCGATAGGTCGTCAGGAAAATCTTCCGTGTCTGTTGAGTCATCAAAGGAAACAGTGACTTCATTCTCATCATCAGATGTACAGTCGGAAGAAGAGCAAGTTTTCATTTCCAAATGTTTTTCCTTCTTTCGTTTCTTTTTTACGACTTTGCCTTTGGTTTTTTGCCCAAGGTTTTACGAGAAGTCGAGTTTGACGTTTTACTGCGTGTACGTTTTTTTAATCCGAAAAACCTTCTTAGGCGGTCTGCATTTACTCTGCCTTTTTCTTCTTCTAGCAACCAGCAATAAGTAGATTTTTTTATCACAGCGGTTCTTTCTTTTCCTAAATCTATTTGTACATACTGATTATCCGGAGTAACTTCGTTCACTTTGTCAGAATAATCTTTTATATTTGAACCTCCTAAGCTCATATTTATATTAGCCCTCTTTTTATTGTTGGAGTCTGGGTCGAAGTCAACACTATCAATTTGATTCTCAGCTAGAAAATTTTGAAACATATTGTTTCCTTCTTGATTGTCATTATCACATTCAATATCCGAGTCCATATCACAATGGTAGAGATCATCATTTTCATTATCGAGATCGGGTTCTTTCTCTTCCTCAGCTTCGTTCTTCGTAACAAAGTTCCAACTTGCAGCTTTAACAGATATTCTTAGATCTTCCATACCCTTGCAGACATCCTTCAAAGCTTCTTCGACGATTTCTCCAATATACTTGTTGCTAAAATCGTTGTAGTTAATGGTATGTTCTTCGCCTATGGCAACATTTTTTTCTGTTGGAAAAATAATGGTATCTTTTAAGTCTTCCACAATGTTATTTACGACTTTAATTCGTTCTATGCGATCTATAATATCCTTAATACTGAAATTAACTACTGTCGACTGTGTTGTTGTCATTGATCTAGTAGCTCTAAAATTTTTTTTCACAGCATTGGCTGCTAAATAGCCACGCACAAAACATATCAGAATGAAAATTGTTACTTCGAAATATGCATACAAGTTTTATCAAATAGTGTGCATTTAGTTCTACACAGAGGTAGGCGTTTAAAGTGATGAAATTATCGGTTAGTTTATATGTTTTGTGTTCTTTTATCCAATATCTCCATATGCGGAAGAAAAACACAGCGTACCAAATATAATACAGTCTTTTTTCTAAAGATATGTTTTTATTTAAGAATGCGTTTAATATGTAACTGATGACTTTCAAATACGAGATTGTGCCTTCTGAACCTTCTACGCTCTTCAGCAATTCCAATACTTCTAAGGATGTAATTTTTTCCACTGATTTGAAGTTCATTCGGTCTGTTGGATGTAGATCGGAAATCGTTTAAAAATGTTTGTCTTTTGGTTGATTCTTCACTAGTTCTTCAATATGCGTTACGGATATAGTAAAATTTCCTATCGGTAAATAAATATTGGCTATAAGTAGGCGATTTCGTAGTTTAGTTCCGATATGAACCTCGTCTTGTGTAAAACATTGCCAGTTTTCAAGGTTAAATTCATTGTCTATGGGTATTTGAAACCACGGCCAATTAGGCTCCTGCGTTTGTTTGAAAGGAAGTTTTGCTCTTATACGCATAGACTTTAGAAGCCGCGTATCTCCATCAGAGGAGTAACCCAATATTTGTATTCCATAACGACTAGCTTCCTTTTCCAAATATTTCCATCGTTGAAGAACGTCTTTGTATATAAATGTGTTGTCAGTGCCATATACTGATAAACAATAAGCTGGTGCGTTTTGACACAGCGGTTGCGCCATTATTATTAGGAAATATTCCTGCATAACTCTTGATGAAGTCGCCAAATATGCATCTGTTACAGGCAAACCATTTTTAAGTGGCAGAGAAAATCCCATCACTGTATTGTTTCTAGAATTGTATTCAACTTTTCCCGTTATCCTGGTGGCGTCTTCAGCAATCCAAACAATCGAGGCAAGATTCCTTTCGTCCAGAAAAACTTTAAGATTTGCAAAGTCGAAACTGCCTTCATCAAAATACTTATTCTGATTGTTAACATATCTATTCGGGGTCGAAATTGTTGGGAGTGCGCCCTTTAAATTTGTATAAAGGACTTCATACAAAAGTCTACCACCAATGTAAAATAAATAAAGACTAAATTTTTTAATAACGTCGTCAAAAGTNTTTTATAATAAATCTTTTGGATTTTGCAACTTTGACCACAAAAGCAAGTCACAGTGCAAGAAAAATGTTTATCTAATCCTTTTTGAATTTTTAGGCTTATACCATTACATTTTGATTCAAATATTAACCATTGTTCCTGACTAACTTTTGTTTTAAGCCAGCACTTAAGAGCTTTTAATATAACGCACTTTTCTGTTTCCTGATCTGTAGCTGCAGTCTCACTTAATGGTTGTGCTGAGGGGGGTGGTAATGTCTGCTCAGAAATGTTCTTATGTAATAAGAATAAGATTTAAACGTAGATATAATACCTTGATCTAGTGGTTGAAGTAATGAAGTTGTATTCGGCGGTAGAAATATTACTTCAACATTTGGGTGACTAAAATTTTTCGGGTGACTTGGTGCATTATCCAATATTAGTAGAATTTTAAAATCTATTTTTTTTGCTTTAAGTACTTCACCACGCTTGGAAGAAAACAGTTTAAAAACTATTTCTTAAATAAGTCAATGGTAACCCAAGCTTTCTTATTTGCAGCCCAATATACCGGTAAAGCGTTTTTATTAAGTTTTTTCAATGCACGAGGATTGAGGGATCTATAAACTAGCATGGGCTTAACCACGTGATCACCTGAGGCGTTACTGCACATAAGTAGTGTTAGTCTATCTTTTGCTACCTTAAAACCCGGTGCAGTTTTTTTATTTTTTGAAATAAACGTTCTTTTGGGCATTTTTTTCCACCAAATGCCGGTTTCATCTGCGTTAAAAACCTGATGTGGTGTGTATCCACCCTGTTGAATAATTTTTTCCAACTCTTTCGGATACTTTTTAGCAGCTTCACTATCGGTAGATGCGCTCTCTCCTTGTATTTTCAGGTTTTGCAATGAAAAACGTTTTTTAAAACGGTCGACCCAACCTTTACTGGCAACAAAATCGGGATCAGTAGCAGTTTCTCCACTTTCTATTAAAAAGCTGTAGATTTTTAAGGCTTTATTTTTAATAATATTTGTGTCTAGTGGCATTCGTTTATTTGAGCAATCGTCAATCCAAACACTAAGAGCTTTTTCCATTTTTTCAAGAAATGGTGCTCTGCGACGAGCTGTCATATTTGCGGAGACGGAACAACCTGCAGTAACGGAAGATCTAATTTTTTGTTAATTTTTCTGTATAGTATGTATTGTAGCTTCATTCAAATTTAGAGTTTTATATTATTTTTTATATTATTTTATGTTTTAATTATTTACGTATGATATCTTTTCCCCTTTTTAAGGCGATCCAAAATCTGAATTTTTTGTTTCATATAGGTCCAATTTTATTTGAAAGAATCCATCCTTCATATCAATTACTGTAAATATTTCTTTACCAGAAAGTCTCTTCTCAATGTCACTTATCGTGGGTATTGGATAATTATCCAACTGTAAAGCCTTGTTTAGTTCAGTCGGATCCAAACATAATCGTAGCTTCCCTTTATTTTTTTCAACTATTGTTATTTGATTTACCCAATCTGTAGGACACTCCACGTCTTCAATGATGTTTTTCTTTATTAATTCGTTTAATGTTTCTTTCAACCTATCTTTTATTATCTCTGGAACTCGACAAACAGGTTTTATTACCTGCGTACTTCCCTCTTTTAACCTCAGTTTGTATGTACCCGGAATTTCCTATATTCCTTGGAAATTATCATTATACTTTTTTATAAATTCAGCATTAGAATCGAAATTTAACGTTAACCTTATTTAATAAACATAAATATTCACAAACTTTAAGTCCCAATATTGGTTATCCCGAACATTGACAACTATGAACTTGATTTTTACAATTTTGTCTTTGATTAATATTTTTAAAATTATTGAACCTATATGGTTACCACCAAATGCAATTACATTTGCGTTACATATATTTAATTTAAAATTTTTGTCTAATTTGTTTAAACAATGCTTAGGTAAAATATTACATGTTGCTCGTTATCGATAATAATATTTATCAACCATGCATTAGTGTTATTACTTTTTACGTTACAAACATTACTTAACATTAACGAATCTATATAATAGTCATCATTACTATCGGACTGATAATCTGTCTCATTTTCTACTTGTTTAACATGTTTGTTAACTTTCCTTTCATCTTTATAATTACTATCTTGTTTGCTTTTGTTATAACTTTGCTTATTGAAATTTTTATAAGTTTTATTTAGCTTATTATCTACTTGCTTACGTTAGTAACAAGTTAAATTTTTTCTCTAAAATTCTTTAAAATGTGAAGGTTATTTTTAAAAGTACTTATCTAAGTTAAATTGTAATTGTTGAAATTTTTAGCGGTGCTCATAGACCATTGTGGGCAAAATACGGCGAATACGAATTTGTTCCAAAACAACGTTGGCTTCATAACCTTGAACATGGAGCTATTGTAATGTTATATCATCCTTGTGCCAATTATCAAGAAGTAAATTATTTAAAAGATATCGTAACGACGTGTTTATATCGACATGTAATCACACCTTATAATTTATTAACACAAGAAAGAGTAAGAAAAAAGATGTTTAATAAAAAAAAAGATTTATTCTTTTCTTTTTAGCCTTTAGCCTTGGTCTCTTGGGGACGTCGATTAGAAATGTCGATGGTCGATCCAAAAATTGTGATTAACTTCATAAAAACTTTTGCAAAACATGGTCCCGAACGCACTCATAAAGATGGACAATACGGATATAGATTGTTAAAAGCTTCTGAGCCACCATTGGATGTTTCAGATTCGATTGTATGTGCTCGTTTTCAAGATGCCGAAATGTAAATAAGAACATTTATTTTGAAAATAATCAACGAAAAGAGGACTTAAAAAGTTTCTTTTTTACACAACGACCAAAAAAAACTATTTGCAGAAACCTAATTGTAGTATTAAAGGCTTAAGTAAACCTGTGATTGTAAACACTGAAGTTAATATATCTTATATGTTGAGCATTATTATTGTTTTATTTACTATACAGTTGTCCGTAAAGTAACGGATATAGGCGATAAAATCATGAAACGGGTCTAAATTTATTTATTGATATCGGGGAGCAACAACAGGACAAACTCAATAAAGTTGCTCCACATAATTATTATATACGAAAACCTTAAAGTAATATTTAATGTGATTACAAATATGTTGTTATCTTAAATTAACATTATTAAATATTTAAATTACACATGATGTGCGCAGTCTTCACAGCCTCGCGGACCGCAAACTTAATATTTCGTGGGTTACTCGAAAAAAGATCGCAACTCACCCGATCCGCGGTTCTTTCCATCCTCAGAATAGGCGAGTTACGATATGCGTTTGTTCGTGGAGTGGGCATATAAAAAGGAAGTCGTACCGTAACTGACGAGGAGGAACATGGACGAGGAGGAGCAGTTTGACCTTTGACAAGCTTGTAGAAAAATAAAACGTCATTATATGCTCGTCGCTGTGAGAGCGTTAGCAATCCGAACATTTCACAAACCAGACACATAGTTACTGTACACTTGTTGGGTTTTATAATACAAGTATTTAATCAGTCGTTTCTGGATACGGAATATTGAGGATTCCAGATTACGCTACCAAAGTTTAAGATGCTGTTGACATATGCATTGTACATACTTATAATTGCGTTGTGGTTTGTGCTTTATAAAGCCCAGCATTCTGTATGATCGAGCAACCACACCATCTACATCATAGGTTCCCAAAGTCTTTTTTCTCACGCCCCCCTATAGCCTGACATGACAACGCCCACCCCTCCCCTCAGCACAAGTAAGAGATAATCAGTGCGCATACATTTTTAAAATATATACAGCAAGGATAATAAATGAGTACAAAAATCAAACTTAAAAAATGTTTAATTAATAAAAGAAAGACAATAGCTAAAATCAATGAGATGGATGAGCTAGCATATTTTTGACAAGATTCCCAATTCTAGGTTGTATAGCAGAAAGTGCACATCGTAGATCACCAGCAATATCGAGTTTGCTTCTGTATTTCGTTTTTATAGCTACAACTGATGAAAATGCCATTTCAAGTGGTTCGATATTTCGGTCTTAATATCGGTTTCATCCAAAATCCGCATAAAACACGCTTCTTCTGTGATTGCAAGTAACTTAGGAAAGTAGGAATAATTACATGCCAAAACTTTACGCGTCAAACATATCTGATAGATAAGCAAACACTACTTGTACCCTTGGCTTTTTGAATTCTATTAATAATTCACTCTGATTCTGACTTTCCAAAAACTGAATAACTTCATGTCGAAACTCAAACAATCTTGCCAGCATATTTCCCTTCGAGAGCCAGCGTACCTCAGTGTGAAATAAAAGTGTCTTATGTTCTGCGCCCAAATCTTCACAAAGAGCCGTAAAAAGTCGAGTATTCAACGCACTCTTTTTAACATAATTGACAATTTTGATGCATAATTTTAAGACAATGTTGAGTTCATTTGAATGTGTTTTAGCCGCCAGGACTTGACGGTGTATAAAACAGTGAATAGCAATTACATTAGGATTTTTTTCACTGACCAACTGCACAAATCTTGAGCGAGATCACAGCATTGCCGGAGCACCGTCTGTGCATACACCAATCAACTTTTCCCATGACAGTTCGTGTTTGTCAAAAAAGTCAGAAATTGCAGTCATTATATCAATCGCCTTCGAAGTAGTCGTAGCTCAGTAGAAAATAGCAGCTCCTCTTTGATTATATCGTTTTGCATGTATCGAATGAAAACTAACAATTGACAACATTGTGCAATATCTATACTCTCGTCCAACTGTATTGCATTAAATTGTGAGTCCTTTCACCGCCGCCACTACCTGGTTTTTTATGTCTTCAGCCATATCGTCAATGCGACGTTTTACAGTGTTATCAGAGAGAGATATTTGTGAAAATTTTTGTTACTCTCTGGTCCGAGAACGATATCAGCTGCTTTCAGAAGGCAGGGTTTGACGAGTGATTCTCCGACAGTATGGCTTTTTGTTGCCTTTGCGATGAGTACTGATAGTTCATATGATGCTTCAAGCACTTTTACAGATGATCCCGCAAAAGAACCAGTGCTATCCAATTTCATGCATTTTAAACTTGCAGATTTTGAAACGAAGAACTCCTTCGGCTTGTTTTTTAGCGTGCTATGTTTAGTTGACAAATGTCGTTCCAGTCGTGTTGGCCTCATGGCATCATTACTTAACACCTCATAACAAAAAACACATTGCGGATGGTCGATGTCATTTTTTCTTATGGAAACAAAACCGTGCTTGATATACTCATCGCTATATTTACGTTTTTTCGCCGAACTCATGTCGGAACACGTTAAAACAACTATTGCGTCAAAATATACGTGATTGCAAAGTGCGTGTTGCAATGATACTGGAGTGTTGGGCGAGTGGAACGCGCGGGCGATGACGCGGGTAGTTTGGTGTGCGCGGGAGATCGAATCCACTCGCACCGCACATCATGCACGCGCCCCCCTTTATATTTTGCTGCGCCTCCCCACGGGGGCGCGCCCCACAGTTTGAAAACCAATGATCTACATGAACATCGAAAAGTAGTTTTTGGTCTAGTGTTACACCAAGATCAACTGTAGATGTAACTCGACGCAACTTATCATAGTTAAGGATGTAATCATATTTTATGTAATCCCTTTTCCTGGTGAATGTGATGGTGTGACACTTAGAAAAGTTTAAGTGTAATTGATTACTTCCACAAAAATTGCAAATCCTATCAAGATCTCCCTGTAATTTAAGTCAGCGTACATCAGGCAACGCGAATTAACAATATTATTAAAAATATCGTTTATGTAAATTAAAAACAGTAAAGGACCGAGATGACTGCCTTGCGGCACTCCGGATATAGTGTGAATTAAGCGTGATTTATAGCCACCAATATTTACAGACTGAGAGCGATCGGACACGTATGAACCAAACCAACGCAACTAATTGCCAGAAATACCAAAAAGTTGCAATTTACTTACCAACAGAGAGTGATCAACTTTGTCGAATGCCTTACTAAAATCAGTGTACACTGCGTTCACTTGAACATTTTCGTCGAGCGACGCAAATAGAAAATCGGTATATTCTAAAAGATTAGTTTCGACTGAACGCCCGGAAAAAAAACCGTGCTGATTAGTATTAATACTTCCACGAATTTGAAAAAATACACTGTCCTACACCAACTTCTCAAAGACCTTTCCAAGTATGGGTAATATAGATATTGGACGATAATTGACAACGAAGTGTCGATCACCTGATTTAAAAATGGGTGCAACGTTGGCTCGCTTCCACGCATCCGGAAACACTCCCAGCTTAATGGATTTATTATATATCAGCTGTAAAGGAATTGATATTGCCTGAGCACAGTTTCTGACAAGTATAGCAAGTATACCGTCAGCACCAGGACCCTTATTCAAAGCTACTTAATTTTTACTTAATTTATCAGTAACCTTGATAATGTCAATTTCTTTCCAATGTCATTAAGTCTTGGTGGAACCGCTCGCCTTGTTCGTCTCTTTCTGCTCCAAGATTGCTTGGAAAAAAATCTAAGTGCGAATGGAGAAAATGGATTTTGAGCGACATATTTGCATTTATGGCTTCGTAATTCTGCAATAAGTTGGAAATTATTTCGCGATAGTTCTCATCCTTATGGTTTCCTAAAAATCCATGGACGGTTTGTTTGAAGCTAATCCACGCCGTTGCTTCTTTTGTTGTTAATGTTGACATGAATTCGTTGTCATTTATTAATTTTCTTATTTGAGGGCCAACAAATATGCCTTCTTTTAGTTTAGCGTACGATAGTTGTGGAAAGAGCTGGGTGAGATATTTAAATGCTGGGCCTTCAAACACGGTTTGATGTGTAGTGGAGGCAATATTACAGATGCTGATCTCACCAGAAGCTTATTTCTAGACCGCCGTTCTCGGCACCAAAACATACTCCATCGTGTTGCTTAAGCATGTTCTGAATCCTAAATTGATATCTCAAAAATCAAGTGTTCTCTGGTTTTTTGAACAAATGTCTGTTGGAGCAGATTTTACTAGAAAAATTCGAATAACTCGAGAACGGCTGAATCAAATTGCAGAAAGTAAAGTTATTCATAAGCCTTGCAAACAGACAAATCCAAACTTGTAAAAATATACAGGATGTTCCATTAAAAAAAAGTTGGTGACTTCCGGTATAACCGGAAGTGTTAGAAATCTGAAAATATTTTAGTCGAAGAGAACGCAATTGATAATACTTAAATCTGAATTCTCAAATTTTTATTTTGTCCAGAACCTCAGATACGTCTAATGACCGGTCTCGCTGAGACACCTGTATATCCTTCATTACTGTTTCTCTTATAGCAAACTATTTAATCAAAACACACTTCACAACAAAATATTTATTTCCTAACAGTTATTTACCGATGACTTATATTAAATGTATGTAATTATTTATCAAATACTTTAAAAGGTTATTTACAGGTCGCAAGGGATTAACCCTTTGTGTCCCGACGGTACTTTAAAGTACCAGTAATTTTAAACACTCATTTTAAACTGTAGTTATCTATTCGGTGCATTTAGAGCTGTCTGTACTTTCTACTATACAAGTGTATACAAGAAATAATCTGTATAAAAAACGTCGCAATCCGCACTGTAGGATTTTTAGGTACACTTTAAACTTATTCATCCAGATGTGAGCTTAGAAGTTTAGTGAAAAGTGGTGCTGTTGAATTTTGTTGTTCAAGAAGGTATTTCTTTGATAAATGGTTATTAGGTGTGATTATTACAGATCATTTTAAAGAGAAAGCTTTGAGCTTTAATTTAAAATAAGTTTTATTCCTTAATTTTAATAAAAATGGTTTCCAGGAATTTTTAAATTAGCATCTTTTTTGGCACTCTTAGGTTATACGAAAATGTATGTTATATTTCAAAATTCTTTTAGAATATTTTTCCAATCCAACCCAACAATTATTATACATCATTTTAAAGAG